CCGGGATCTCAAAGAAAGAGAAGTTCAGAGTTTCCTCAGTGAGTATCTTCCTTTTATATTTAATATGTGGATGAAGTATGGTAATCCTATAACAGGCGCCATCCCTATAGAGCGGGGGGGGGGGGGGGGGGGGGGGGGGCTCCAGACTTGTCATTCAAAGGGCCAGTTTACTGGACTTCAGGCTTCAGGGGGGCCGGATTGTGGTCAGTGGGAGGAATAGTGCCCCATCATTGGTGTCAGAGGGAGGAATAGTGCCCCATCATTGGTGTCAGTGGGAGGAATGGTGCCCCATCATTGGTGTCAGTGGGAGGAATGGTGTCCCATCATTGGTGTCAGTGGGAGGAATAGTGCCCCATCATTGGTGTCAGTGGGAGGAATAGTGTCTCATCATTGGTATCAGTGGGAGGAATAGTGTCTCATCATTGGTATCAGTGGGAGGAATAGTGCCCCATCATTGGTATCAGTGGGAGGAATAGCGCCCCATCATTGATGTCAGAGGGAGGAATAGTGCCCCATCATTGGTGTCAGTGGGAGGAATAGTGCCCCATCATTGGTGTCAGTGGGAGGAATAGTGCCCCTTCATTGGTGTCAGAGGGAGGAATAGTGCCCCATCATTGGTGTTAGTGGCAGGAATAGTGCCCCATCATTGGTGTCAGTGGGAGGAATAGTGCCCCATCATTGGTATCAGTGGGAGGAATAGTGCCCCATCATTGGTGTCAGTGGCAGGAATAGTGCCCCATCATTGGTGTCAGTGGGAGGAATAGTGTCTCATCATTGGTATCAGTGGGAGGAATAGTGCCCCATCATTGGTATCAGTGGGAGGAATAACGCCCCATCATTGGTGTCAGAGGGAGGAATAGTGCACCATCATTGGTGTCAGAGGGATGAATAGTGCCCCATCATTGGTGTCAGAGGGAGGAATAGTGTCCCATCATTGGCATCAGTGGGAGGAATAGTGCCCCATCATTGGTGTCAGAGGGAGGAATAGTGCCCCATCATTGGTGCCAGTGGCAGGAATAGTGCCCCATCATTGGTGTCAGTGAGAGGAATAGTGATACCATCATTGGTATCAGTGGGAGGAATAACGCCCCATTGTTGGTGTCAGAGGGAGGAATAGTGCCCCATCATTGGTGTCAGTGGGAGGAATAGTGCCCCGTCATTGGTGTCAGTGAGAGAAATAGTGCCCCGTCTTTGGTGTCAGAGGGAGGAATAGTGCCCCATCATTGTTATCAGTGGCAGGAATAGTGCCCCGTCATTGGTGTCAGTGAGAGGAATAGTGCCCCATCATTGGTATCAGTGGAGGAATAGTGCCCCATCATTGGTGTCAGTGGGAGGAATAGTGCCCCATCATTGGTATCAGTGGGAGGAATAGTGCCCCATCATTGGTGTCAGTGGGAGGAATAGTGCCCCATCATTGGTATCAGTGGGAGAAATAGTGCACCATTATTGGTGTCAGAGGGAGGAATAATACCCCATCATTAGTGTCAGTGGGGGGAAGAGTGCCCCATTTTTTATGTCAGTGGGAGGAATAGTGCCCCATCATTGGTGTCAGTGGGAGGAATAGTGCCCCATCATTGGTGTCAGTTGGAAGAATAGTGTCCCATCATTGGTGTCAGTGGGAGGAATAGTGCCCCATCATTGGTGTCAGTGGCAGGAATAGTGCCCCATCATTGGTGTCAGTGGGAGGAATAACGCCCCATCATTGGTATCAGTGGGAGGAATAGTGCCCCATCATTGGTGTCAGAGGGAGGAATAGTGCCCCATCATTGGTGTCAGAGGGATGAATAGTGCCTCATCATTGGTGTCAGAGGGAGGAATAGTGCCCCATCATTGGTGTCAGAGGGAGGAATAGTGCCCCATCATTGGTGTCAGAGGGAGGAATAGTGCCCCATCATTGGTGCCAGTGGCAGGAATAGTGCCCCATCATTGGTGTCAGTGAGAGGAATAGTGATACCATCATTGGTATCAGTGGGAGGAATAACGCCCCATTTTTGGTGTCAGAGGGAGGAATAGTGCCCCATCATTGGTGTCAGAGGGAGGAATAGTGCCCCATCATTGGTGTCAGAGGGATGAATAGTGCCTCATCATTGGTGTCAGAGGGAGGAATAGTGCCCCATCATTGGTGTTAGTGGGAGGAATAGTGCCCCATCATTGGTGTCAGTGGGAGGAATAGTGCCCCGTCATTGGTGTCAGTGAGAGAAATAGTGCCCCGTCATTGGTGTCAGAGGGAGGAATAGTGCCCCATCATTGGTATCGGTGGCAGGAATAGTGCCCCGTCATTGGTGTCAGTGAGAGGAATAGTGTCCCATCTTTGGTATCAGTGGGGGGAATAGTGCCCCATCATTGGTGTCAGTGGGAGGAATAGTGCCCCATCATTGGTATCAGTGGAGGAATAGTGCCCCATCATTGGTGTCAGTGGGAAGAATAGTGCCCCATCATTGGTGTCAGTGGGAGGAATAGTGCCCCATCATTGGTATCAGTGGGAGGAATAGTGCCCCATCATTGGTGTCAATGGGAGGAATAGTGCCTCTTCATTGGTGTTAATGGGAGGAATAGTGCCCCATCATTGGTGTCAGTGGGGGGAAATAGTGCCCCATCATTGGTATCAGTGGGAGGAATAATGCCCCATCATTGGTGTCAATGGGAGGAATAGTGCCCCTTCATTGGTGTCAGTGGGAAGAATAGTGTCCCATCATTGGTGTCAGTGGGAGGAATAGTGCCCCATCATTGGTGTCAGTGGCAGGAATAGTGCCCCATCATTGGTGTCAGTGGGAGGAATAACGCCCCATCATTGGTATCAGTGGGAGGAAATAACGCCCCATCATTGGTATCAGTGGGAGGAATAGTGCCCCATCATTGGTGTCAGTGGGAGGAATAGTGCCCCATCATTGGTATCAGTGGGAGGAATAGTGCCCCATCATTGGTGTCAGTGGGAGGAATAGTGCCCCATCATTGGTATCAGTGGGAGGAATAGTGCCCCATCATTGGTGTCAATGGGAGGAATAGTGCCTCTTCATTGGTGTTAGTGGGAGGAATAGTGCACCATTATTGGTAGAGATGAGCGAATTATTCAAAAATTCGGTTCGGCTGATTCGCCGAATTCGCAGAATAAATTCGCTTCGAGTCGAATATATTCGCTGTGAATTTAACTTATAAAAGGGTGTTTCTAGGCTTCAGAGAGCCTTTATATTAGTGCTGAACACTGTACCTTTAATTTAAATGCCCTTGGAGTCTGCTGGGGAAGAGAAATAATACTGTCAGTCAGTATGACATGCAGATGAGTGCCGTCGATCTTAGAATCACCGCACACTTCACTCATTTGGGCAGTCACGGGGCCAAAACCAGAGTGTGGAGCCACAGTGTGGCGGTGGAGGCAGCAGCAATGGGAGGCCATACAGCACCCTATGACAAAATGGAAACCAGCAGGAGCGTGAGGAGACCTGAAAGTGGCACATGGCAGAGTGGGACGATGGAGACAGCAGTAATGGGAGGCGGTACATGGACCCATGAGACACTGTGGACCTGGCAGCAGCATGAGGAGGCGGTACAGGGGCCCATGGCAGATTAGGGGCCTGGCAGCAGCAATGTGAGGCCCGTAATCTGCCAGCACTCTATGTCAAAATGGAACCCAGCAGCAGTGTGAGGAGACCTGAAAGTGGCACATGGCAGAGTGTGGCGATGGAGACAGCAGCAATGGGAGGCGGTACAGGGACCCATGAGACACTGTGGACCTGGCAGCAGCATGAGGAGGCGGTACAGGGGCCCATGGCAGATTAGGGGCCTGGCAGCAGCAATGTGAGGCCCGTAATCTGCCAGCACTCTATGTCAAAATGGAACCCAGCAGCAGTGTGTGAGGAGACCTGAAAGTGGCACATGGCAGAGTGTGGCGATGGAGGAGACAGCAGCAATGGGAGGCGGTACAGGGACCCATGAGACACTGTGGACCTGGCAGCAGCATGAGGAGGCGGTACAGGGGCCCATGACAGATTACGGGCCTGGCAGCAGCATGAGGAGTCGGTACGGGGGCCCATGGCAGATTACGGGCCTGGCAGCAGCAATGGGAGGCCGTACAGGGACCCATGACACACTCTGGACCTGGCAGCAGCATGAGGAGGCGGTACAGGGGCCCATGACAGATTACGGGCCTGGCAGCAGCATGAGGAGTCGGTACGGGGGCCCATGGCAGATTACGGGCCTGGCAGCAGCAATGGGAGGCCGTACAGGGACCCATGACACACTCTGGACCTGGCAGCAGCATGAGGAGGCGGTACAGGGGCCCATGACAGATTACGGGCCTGGCAGCAGCATGAGGAGTCGGTACGGGGGCCCATGGCAGATTACGGGCCTGGCAGCAGCAATGGGAGGCCGTACAGGGACCCATGATACACTCTGGACCTGGCAGCAGCATGAGGAGGCGGGGTACAGGGGCCCATGACAGATTACGGGCCTGGCAGCAGCATGAGGAGTCGGTACGGGGGCCCATGACACACTCTGGACCTGGCAGCAGCATGAGGAGGCGGTACAGGGGCGCATGACAGATTACGGGCCTGGCAGCAGCAACTTGGACAGGAGGACTTTCAGCTTCTGCACCGTCGGGTGCGTGATCGCAAACTGTTGTCTCTTGGAAACGGATTCCAAGAAAGACTGCTGACGGAATCCGTGAAGAGGAGTAGCAGGAGAAGGAGCATCTGAACGAGCGGAATATGCCAACAAGCGACAACAGGGGCCCATGACAGATTACCGGCCTGGCAGCAGCATGAGGAGTCGGTACGGGGGCCCATGGCAGATTACAGGCCTGGCAGCAGCAATGGGAGGCCATACAGCACCCTATGACAAAATGGAAACCCACCAGCAGTATGAGGAGACCTGAAAGTGGCACATGGCAGAGTGTGGCGATGGAGACAGCAGCAATGGGAGGCGGTACAGGGACCCATGAGACACTGTGGACCTGGCAGCAGCATGAGGAGGCGGTACGGGTGCCCATGGCAGATTAGGGGCCTGGCAGCAGCTATGGGAGGCCCGTAATCTGCCAGCACTCTATGACAAAATGGAACACACCAGCAGTGTGAGGAGACCTGAAAGTGGCACATGGCATGACACACTGTGGACCTGGAAGCAGCATGAGGAGGCGGTACAGGGGCCCATGGCAGATTAGGGGCCTGGCAGCAGCAATGGGAGGCCCCCGTAATCTGCCAGCACCCTATGACAAAATGGAACCCATCAGAAGTGTGAGGAGACCTGAAAGTGGCACATGGCAGAGTGTGGCGATGGAGACAGCAGCAATGGGAGGCCGTACAGGGACCCATGAGACACTGTGGACCTGGCAGCAGCATGAGGAGGCGGTACAGGGGCCCATGGCAGATTAAGGCCTGGCAGCAGCAATGGGAGGCCCGTAATCTGCCAGCACCCTATGACAAAATGGAACCCTGGGCTGGGGCAGGCAGAACCACCGTATCTTTATCACGGTTTTCCCAGGCCACCGAATGGCGACGCTGCATATGCTGACGCAACGCTGTAGTCCCAACATGGGCCCCCTGGCCACGCTTGACTTTCTGGCCACATAGTCGACATACGGCTATGTTTACTTCCGCGGGCGGGCTTGAGGAAAACTTGCCACACCGCCGAGTAGGAAACTTTGCCCCCGCTACTCCTCACTGGCTGACTGCTACTTCCTCCGTGCACACCGGCACCACTACTGGCCGTGGTGGTAGGCTGCAGTGGAGCTGCTGCTCTACTCCGTGGCCGTTTGCCTCCACTGACACTGCTGCGACCCTGCTGCCTCCTGGCAGCAGCAATGGGAGGCCGTACAGGGACCCATGACACACTCTGGACCTGGCAGCAGCATGAGGAGGCGGTACAGGGGCCCATGGTAGATTAGGGGCCTGGCAGCAGCAATGGGAGGCCCGTAATCTGCCAGCACCCTATGACAAAATGGAACCCAGCAGCAGTGTGAGGAGACCTGAAAGTGGCACATGGCAGAGTGTGGCGATGGAGACAGCAGCAATGGGAGGCGGTACAGGGACCCATGAGACACTGTGGACCTGGCAGCAGCATGAGGATGCGGTACGGGGGCCCATGGCAGATTAGGGGCCTGGCAGCAGCTATGGGAGGCCCGTAATCTGCCAGCACCCTATGACAAAATGGAACCCAGCAGCAGTGTGAGGAGTCCTGAAAGTGGCACATGGCAGAGTGTGGCGATGGAGACAGCAGCAATGGGAGGCGGTACAGGGACCCATGAGACACTGTGGACCTGGCAGCAGCATGAGGAGGTGGTACAGGGGCCCATGGCAGATTACAGGCCTGGCAGCAGCAATGGGAGACGCCCGTAATCTGCCAGCACTCTATGACAAAATGGAACCCAGCAGCAGTGTGAGGAGACCTGAAAGTGGCACATGGCAGAGTGTGACGATGGAGACAGCAGCAATGGGAGGCGGTACAGGGACCCATGAGACACTGTGGACCTGGCAGCAGCATGAGGAGGCGGTACAGGGGCCCATGGCAGATTAGGGCCCTGGCAGCAGCAATGGGAGACGCCCGTAATCTGCCAGCAATCTATGACAAAATGGAACCCAGAAGCAGTGTGAGGAGACCTGAAAGTGGCACATGGCAGAGTGTGGCGATGGAGACAGCAGCAATGGGAGGCGGTACAGGGACCCATGAGACACTGTGGACCTGGCAGCAGCATGAGGAGGCGGTTGTCTTGGAAATTCGCTTTAACGAATTTCTCCTTACCGTGAGTACTCGCAGTTGGATGCGCAGAAATCCCCCCCATAAAGCTGTGTGAATCTCGCTTACCACGACTGCAGCCAAACTACACGATTCCTGCCCATCCAAATACTTTGGTTCTGTTGAATTTGTGGGTGATTGGAGCTCCGTTACCCTAGAATGATCACACGACACTCTAAGGCTGGTTGCAATCCACATAAGGGCCGGCTTTAGGCTCAGCTCTCTGTTTTATTAAAAATACACACACGCCCCCCACATGAATAAAGTCAAACCCCTCCCACCGAACAATGCAATGGGGAGTACCTATACAGAGGATGTACATTCCAATTGGAGCATAGCCTTTGCTATTATCTATCACTGGTCCTCCCCCATGAGTCTTCTGAGGTCAGCAGACTTCCTCCCCTTCCCACCTATGAGCCATCTGAGGTCATATTTCCTGTCCTACTAGCTTCTATTGGTATGCAAAATTCTCTGCACAAGCATCTCCCTAAAAATATCAGTCTGTACCTGGATGGGCCCGATACGATCTTTATTAAAACACATCCATCCCAGATACAGTTCAGATTAGTAATGGGTTGTAAGATATGCATAAGCCTACACGTGGAGTTCGTACCGCTTGCGCATTGCGTCACGAAGCCCACGTGGTACCATGCTGCTGATATGTGGATACAGGCCCACGGTCTACTGACAGCAGCATTCGCATGGAATGCCGTGGTGGTATACACGCCGGTCTATAAGCGCAGATCTGCCATCTCATCCATTACCAAGCTGAGTACTGTAATACATACATTGTACATGCGCATGGCCCAATTGCAGCCTTCAGAGCTTTAATTAAGCCACACGAGAGACATATGAATAACACGAATATATGACACATTTAAAGTTCGACCAACAATACAAAATTTCCATGACATTCCCTCCTGTTTTATCATATTCTCCTCGTGTCCCTTCTTGATCTTCTTCAGCTTGATGGGTGTAGTCTCAAACTTCAAAGAGTTTCTGTAGTTGTCCCTGAGAATAAAGCTCCACGGGGTACCTGAAACAACAAGACCCGACGCAGACTCGACGCAAACAGGCTTGATTGAAGCGATGATCCTCAAGAGCGTTGGAACCTTCACTACAGGAAGGCTCTTGCAAAAAACCACAAACAGACTTGACTTGTGGTATGAATAAAGCTTGTGATCCCACGGTGGTCTGGGGAGATCCAGCAATAGATTCTCAAATTGCCCCTGCAGACGGGGCCACACAAGGCTGGTCTCGACCCAGACAGTTTTCCAAATCGCAGACACAAACAATGATGAGGCTTGAAGCTTGCTTGAAGGTCTTGGAGAATGTGGTCTTCAGAGAGATAAATTAGAGGGAAGCCAGGACGTAATCTGTAGAGAAGGTGGTTGGTTGGTGAGGTCTTCCCCCGATCAGTGGTTGGAGTGGGATCCCCGGAGCGGGCATGGAGATGTGGTCGTCTGCCCGAGCTTGGCTTACACGGTCGATGAGGCAACAGGAACATCTCACCGCGGCATATAAAAGGCAGATGAAAAAGAGAAGCATCAGGATATACACTCCCACTTCCTTCAACCAAGATCCGATGGAGAACAGGAAATCTCCCAATCCTCCCAAACCCTTGAACGGATTCCAACCCTCACTAGCTATAGCTCTAGCTTTTCCCTGTAGTTCACTAACTTTGTCCATATGGGCCTGGACCTTGTCATCGGTGTCTTCTATCCAAGTACAACAATCCTCTCCGATGAACTCACAGAACCCCCCTTTGGCGGCTAAAAGATAATCAAGGGCCATCTTCTCCTGAAGCACTAAAATTCCCATCTGCCGTTGTTCTTGGGCAATTTCTCTGACAGCCTCTACGGTCTCGTTAAACATACTATCCACGATGACAGAAAAATTGTTCAGGCGCTTCATAAGTTCTATTCCCCATCCTGTCCATGAGGGGAACCAAGCCCATGCCTGGTCGCCCTCAGAGAACAGTTCCCTGCGAACTCTCCCTGCCATCCTTACCTTCTTGTGGACCATCAACTCTTCATGGTCCATCACTACATAGGATGCGGGGACTAGCTTTATGAGGGCACACGAACCTTTCGCGTTCTGGGGAAATGTTCTATAGGCTGCCGAACCACAGAAAATAGTATGGACCTGTCAGAGCAGAACAGGAGGAGTTCCTCGTTCGGCCTCTGGTACTGAGCAACAGTTGCACAGACTGGGGGATTGCTCCCTCAGTCTGCACATCACATCCGTCCTTCCAACAAACGTGGTCTGGTCGGTCAGTGTGGTTACTCAGAAAGGAAGTCTGGTTAGTCAGATTGACAGTTATACCTCCCTCGCAGGTGGTAGTCCCAACAAACTTGTTACCTGTGTCAAAGCTGATGTTAAAGCACACCTGAGGGCTGCCTAGCTGCCCAGTTACCCATAATGGACTGGTGAGGGCCCTACAGGAGCTAGAGCTAATATTGGTGCTGAAACTGATGTTACCTGCTAAAAAATGTGTCATTAAGTTCTACCGACAAATGTCTACGTGGGGGCTGACCAGGGGTCCCTTGCTTTTTCATGCCGACGCGGATGTCATATAGGGCATGAACAGCGGCCATTGCGGACATGTGATGACTGGGTGGGGGCTTAGAGCATACCCAACAGTTGGTTTTGTTGGCGGTTCTGGCTAAACGCAGGTGCATTTTAAATAAAAGGTTGGGGTATCTGCCGTCTTTTCCTCCGTTCACACACATGTATGACATACAAATAAAAAGAAAAAGGAAAATGACACCCCTCATTCTCTGGTGTAGCTGAAAAGCTTCTTGCAGTGGCTTGCGTGCACCCAGTTGTCTCGTCCCTCGAGTTTGAGTGAGGTAGGTGTCGTCAGCTGGACTTGGTATGGTCCGGTGAACCGTGGCTCAAGTCCGGTTCTTTGATGTTTCTTTAGGACGACCCAATCACCGCTACTCTCGGGGTGATATGGGGTGTGTCGCCGCTGACTCCAGTTCCACCAAAGAAATGCAGTCGTGTCCTTTGGAAGAGAGGTTAATAGTGGACAAAGAAGACATGTTAGCAGAAGAGGTGTTAGTATTGTTAGTCGTGTTGCAAAATTCAGCACTGTCATTGCTGTCCTCCCCCCCCTTCTCATCTTCCGACACAGGAAGAAGAGAAGCTGGGTTAAGAATAGTGCATCGTTTGATAGTGAGGTTAGTAGGGGTTAGGAGGGCTTTCCCCTGAGAGGGGTACCTTGCCTTGGATGTCCTGTTTTCGCAGGACCGTTCTTGCTGCACCGGTGTCAGTGAGGCAAGGGAGGGGATATTTTAATTCCTCTAGAAAAAGATGGATCTGGGCTGACACCGATTTGTCAACTTCCTATAAGAATTCATAGGAGTTACTTACCATGGTGGTCATAGGGGCGGAGGACTCATCAGGAATGAACTGCCACCGACCTTTAGGTAATTGGGGACAGCTCCTCCTCATGTGCCCCGTTTGGTGGCACTGGAAGCACCTGGGTGGGGGCCTATCCTTCCTGTGACCCAGATCCCTTGGTTTTTCGTGTGGGGTCTGGGACATAAGAACTTTGGCCTTGTCTTGTTTTCTTCTATCCATTTCCCTCTCTATTGCCGCAAGAGTGGAAAGGATAGCAGGGATAGACATCTCATTATATTCGGGTCGGGCCAGAACCAGCCTTTCCCGAATTTTAGTATCGATGCCTTCCAAAAATTTGGCCCGCAACAGAATGTGCGTCGCGGTCACCTTTACCCCTTGTGACGGGAGTGACTTTTGGGGGTGGGGGGACCGCTTGGTCAGCTCATGTCCCCCTCATTATGTTTAAGGCACCCTGTGCCTGTTAAGGGTTACAGGGTGTGTATGTGAATGTCTGAGTTCTGTGTATAGTGTGTTGTCCATTGTCTGTTTACCATGTGCTACCCCCCATTGTGCTGTGTCTCCCTGTCCAGCCAACTATTATGGGATGTACTGTTTGTGTATTGGTGTGGGGGTTGGGCAATGTCCTTTGCCACATGGTTGCATCCCATTGTTCTGTGTCTGGTTGGATGGGGAGGGGTGATGAGGTGTTTCCTGTCCCTGGTTGTCTTTCCCCGCCCTCTGTATAAAACATGTTTTGTGTACAATAAAGGTAGTTGACTTCCTGTTTTAGTAAG